GTTTTTTTATTACATAATTTTTGTTTTGTTGTGCACGTACACCCGTTATTGTAATTATTGTCTCCTGTATTTAGACCTACAGGAAGAATTTTTTTAGAAATAAGCAAGTACCTTTTGTTTGTGTTCTCCTTGTTACTATAGTCTGTTCCAATCCATTTTAAACAAAAAGTAAACAAACCTGTTTGGTTAAAATTCTAAAGCAATTACTCAATAAATCGAATAAGTTACACTTTCACGTATATTTCGAAGATTTCGACTTAATATATCATCACTTTTTCCAACAATATTCATTTGAATAGCATCGTAAAATCGTAATTGAAAAATGGTAGTCCAAAAGCGAGGTTCTTTTTCATCTATACGTCTATGATTTGTCTATGGTTGCATAGTGCTGTACGAAAAGAAACATTTGGTTCATTCAATTAAAGTTTTTATAATCGACTAGTAAATCGAAAATTTCAATCGCAATCGAACGAGTATCTAAGTGTAAGGATTTGAAGAAGGATTTATAAAATTAATAATTAAGATTTCGGAAATTTTAAATACATGCTTTTATAGGTTATATATTTACATTATTTTCCAGTAAGGAAAACTGCTAATATAACTCAATGGAACACATCGATTCATTCAATTAATTAATCGATTTGTAGCTCACTTATCCGTCGTAATCACTAATCACTAAACCGCCTATAGCCGGGTCAGTCACTTGTTTGTTTACTTTTTGTTTAAAATGGATTGAAACGAAGTATAAATGTGTTTTTGTTTTTTCTGTACAATAAATGATTAAATAAATAAATAATAGAACACATCATCATCGTCGTCTTCCAAGGGTCTTTAGGCCATAGTAAACCATGCTATCCAAATTCGATCAGTATTTGGTGATGGCATCACGATGTATTCCTTCACCGAACAAGAGCAAGCAATAAGTAAAAAGTAACAATGGGATTCGAAGCTAGGACCTCGAAATCGCTGCTGTCCACACGTCACACTAAATACCTAAAGCAAATTACCTCGAAGATAATATCCTGGTATCCGTAGCAAAAGGTAGAGCCGAACGGATTGGTGGTGTTGGTGGAAGAGGCTCTGTTGAGGACCACGGGCCTTTCGCAAACGCGCAGGGCGCGGGACACCGACTCCCACTTGCTGTACGCCGTTATGGGGACAGCACCGCGGCTGTCCACTAGGGAGTTGGGCTCGCATCTGGAAATTACCATGGCCATGTGTAAATAAGAACTGACAGATTATTTACAGAACAAAACTATGGACTGATTGAACTATGATTTTGAACAGCAGTAGAGCTTGTGAAAGAATTCTTCCAGGGTAATACTGCCACCTTACTTATTTCTGTCGCCAAGCAGTAATGTCAGCGTTACTGTGTTCCGGATTTGAAGGGTAAGGGTGGTGGTGAAATTACAGGCACATGGGACTTATCAACTTATGTCACAGGATGACGGGCGCAGTGGCAATAAGGCCCCTAAGATCTATGCGATTTAAAGCTCCGAGCGGCACTGCAACAGTTATGGACGTGTAGCTTGTATAGCTCACAATCAGGCGCACGACTTGTTCGTCCCGTCACTTGATATTATATAACAAAAAATACTTCGCGATATTTGAAAATACTGCTTTACTTTTACTCTACAACCTTCAATCCACCATTCCATTCATTTTCGCAAGAAAATGTTTTTGTGATTCGAAAGGGCGACGAAGGGGGTCTCTGTCCATGATTTGGGGATATAACAAATTGAAAGTCACAAGTTTTCTAAGAATAACTTTAGGAAATACGGTGCAATAATTTCGACTTCCCATACAACATTTGAAATTAACCTAACTTGGGCGTTAAGTTACTCTAAGTGTCTCTAAGCTAAGGTCATTACTAACTTGTCAGGCGTGACGTGCAGCTCGAACTCGCAGCGATGGTACATGTTGAAATTGTAATGCCCAGGGTAGTTCGTGTGCAGCACGAATTTCTTCACGGCGTGCGTGCGCGCATCGAACAGAACGTCCTGGGACGAAAATGTATGCACGTATTAATTCTCATGTCGTAACAAGCAATACTACGCCAGCTGTATCCATTTATTGCGAAACAAAAATATTGCCGTTCACTCACATACAACCACTAAACTGCAACAATGCGGCACATTTATGAAGTGGTTCTAAAGAACAAACCTAGATGGCGTTATGCACCACTCCGATCGATTTAGATTATTTAGATTGCCATAATAAACCTTTTCTTCGATAACTTTTCAACTTTTACTCTCTCGTAATTTTATTACCAAGAACTTATGAAAGTGATAGCTAAAAAGAAAAAATATTAATAGCACAACTCACCAATCCTAGCGTAAAGTAGTTGAAGAAGTAATCGGACGCTGGTGGCGGGCGACGGCGCGCAGACGCACGATGGATGCGCATCTTATCGTCAGCTTTGTAATAAAGCCGCTGGGGGGCACCAAGCGCACGTGCCACTGATTGGCACGTATCCCCAAAGCGAACTACTCGGCATACATTCATTTGAACCGGCTCAAGAGCTCTGCTCGTGCCTGTGTTAAAATTGAAGTTTCTTTTAATTAGAAAAAAAATAGATGAAACTAAGACCACCGGTTTTTTCAAGAATCATATTATATATATACAGTTAGGAAAAAGTAATAATGGTACCTTCTGTGAACATATGCAGCCTCAGTCCGGCGGTGCGATGGTGCTGGCGCAAGACATCGCAGCGCCGCAGGTGCAGTTGGTGACGGTAGCAGGATAGCGGCAAATCAGGCAGCGGCGTCGCGCACACAGTGCCGCTGTTGTTGGTTGAACCGCTTACCTGGAAAAGAAAGCAGTTTATTTTAGTAAGTTTAGGGGAGAAATCGTTTTATACAATTTTAGTTACGATAATAACCTTCACGTGGTAAACAAACGCATTATATTATCTGTATCGATACAAAACATCATGGGTCAAAAAAATCAGATATGATTTGGAGTCAAGTACTATAGTCGAATTTTCAATAACAAACAAATATGTATATTAAAGTTTAGTGGGTTGCTAGTTGTTCATAAGATAGTCTTAAAGGATATCTCTGGCTCACACAGTATGTAAATTTTATCTTTCTAGTCATTTGTAGGAGTTAATTTAAAAATAAATCAATAAGTGGATAATAGAAACATTATGTAGGAACCAAAATGTATTTGAAATTTTGTTTAGCAGATTGGCTATTACCAAAAATTTTAACGCTTCCTTTTGACTGATTCTGTTTTAAATCAACCACATCGATGCAGTGTCTCCCTGGTGCGGAGCTATGAGTATGTGCGTTATTATTACTATTATCACATGTTTATGCAATAAACATGGCAACATTATTTTTCAAAGTGACATTCGTAACTCACAAAACAAATAATAAAGTATAACGTACCTGGTGTTGAGATCCATAATAAATGGTAGTTCGGGATACGACGGGCGATCCGCCATTCGGGAACTGAAGAGAGCCCAGGCCGTGCGCGTAGCCGGGCTGCAAAATAAGATATTATAATAAAGTCTTCATGTTCAAGAGGTCTCACAAAACCATTGCAATACAGTTTATGAAAGTTGACGTCATTTGATGGAACTCGTTACTTTGTTTTTCGATAATAAAAATCGGGAACAAAATCGACAGTTCCACATAATACCCTCTATCTTGTCTATTACATTTAAGAGCTAGGTTCTTCTTGGTGTCAACAAACAAACCACAAACAAAACGCCATGCCATATTGTCTTCTGAAAAGCTTTTTCTTTGCCTTCCTTATACAAAGTGGCACCAATTTTTATTTTTATTCGGTCCAATGAACTTGTTTGTCTGCTGTGCTGTCGTCATATGAAGGAGTAGTGAAGTCGCATACGTGCTTTCCTTCACAGCCACTCGTCTAATATATAATGTTAACATTAACATTTCCCCACTTCATTGTGTACGAATATTAATTAGATCGTACTGTATTTAACTTATAAATGGCGTTAGTATACCGTCACATTGTAAACAAGCGATTAAAGGTCACTTCTTACCTCGAATTTGCTATCGACAGGGAAGTAGAATGATAGTCCTCGAAAGTTGAGCGCAAAGAGATGGCGTTGCGAGTCGTAGAGGCCGGGATGCGTCGCGCCGAAGCAGTGCTCGATCTGCTCGATAGATGGCGTAATCTCCGCCGAGTTAAAGCACATGCCGCTGGGGAAAAAACAAATATACATCAAACTCTTTCAGGCAACACAAGCACTCTGTTATTCTATCTAATGAAAGGGGATAATATCGAGGGGCCTGAGGCCCAATAAGTTAAGCGTGTGAATTTTCGTGGAACGAGTTGTACAACTCGTTATAGTGCACTTTTCGTGCTCTTTTTTGTGGTGGAAACCGAAAAGCAAGTTTATGAGTGTAACAGATTCGATTTAGTTACAAGCCCGGTATAACATTGAAAATTGCATTAAACAAACCCTATAACGCGTTAGATAACTCCTTTTACAACATATTCACACACTGATTGAGTTTTGTCTCGGACCTCCCTACACAATATTTCATCGCTTTCCAAAACGAGTAGAATCGATACGAAGAAGAACATGATAAACTGTTTAATTTTATTAAATAACATATCATTGGCTTTCTACAATAGCAGCCTATCTCAAAACCAACAGATCCATCAGGAATATGGTTTAAAAAAAATGAGAAATATCTGGCGCGCAGAGCCCGATGTAACATACCGGCCCAATATTACGTGATTATTTTAACCAATGAAAAGTTCGATTCATAATCAAATTAAGCACATTCTGAATACAAATGCGTTTCAGTACCGGTCGAGTTTCTTGTGAAGATGTTCGTCCGGGACCATACAGCCACTTTACCTATTTCTGTCGCCAAGCAGTAATGTGAGTATTACTGCGTTTCGGTTTTCAAGGGTAAGGGTACTTGTGAAATTACAGGCACCTATGTAACTATTCTAAATTATGTCTCAGTATCGCAGGCGCAGTGATAGTGCCTCTCAGAGCTTTGCGATTTAAAGCTCTGTGCGGCGCGGCACTGCAACTGTTATGGACATTCAAGACGCTTACTACCAGGCGCACGAATTGTTTGTCCCGTCATTTATTATCATAAAAAAAGAATTCTCCGGTATAATAGTTATAATAAAATATTGTGAAGTACTTAGGAGAAACATACGATGCGAATAATATCATTTTAATACAGCAACAATTAATTCCCACTGAAAACTAAAATGTAATCCTACTAGCTATTTGGTTAAATAATTTCGATGCCGCCAATGAACACTACGCCAAGTCAATTTTTGGGCATGTTTTTTTTAATTTTCTTTTCGTTTCTTTACTTTTTCACAAAATTCCGGGAGCATAATTTTAGTAAATAAATATGGCTCTTTACAACAACAAAAGA